GGGCCCGCCACATGCTCACGGGCCCACGGGCTCACGGGCCCACGGTCCCACGGGCCCGACCCCCGAAAAGACCATGGCCCTGGATTCAGAGCTTCAGGGCTTTGGGTTTGGGTTTGGCGGGGGCCGTTGGATACTGTCAGGCCCTGTCGGCGCTTTTCTCTCTACCTTTCTCTGCGCATCTGTCTTTACGCGTCTGTCTTGCGCTTATCTGTGCATTTGTCTGCATATTCGTCTATGAATTTATCTGGGCGTTTATCTGGGATTTATTCGTATATCTATTTGTCTGTTTGTCTGTATCTTTTTAACCTTTGGTTGGGCGTTCGGGTATTTAATTATTTGAGTATTAGTTTGGTTACTTGCTATTATATATTCAATTGAAGTATAACGAAGTCTTATAAAAATAACCTAAACAAAGAAACTTATAAAAATAGAAGCTCTAATAGAATAAAAATAAACGATTGTTCTCTTATTATTGCAATCAAATATTTTTCTCGGCCATAATGATGTAGATGGCCAAGCGGCTTCAGCTGGGGGGGCGCCATGATGTAAGCCGGGAACCTACAACAACTCAGTATGTAGTTATAACAACGATATGATTATCAGTACTCTTGGTCTGTGCATACAGCTATATGTATGTATGTACGTACGTACGTACCTATGCATGGACGTACGTACGTGTGTGCGTGTGTGTTTGCATATACATATAATATAATATAACATATAATATAATATATATATACACACATATGTATGGATGCACATACAAATATATTATGTGCTCTAGACCCGAATGCCCAAACTCTGAGACCAGACATCCCCATGCTATACTATGTACTTTAGACAATAGAGTCTGTACTTTCTGCTATGTACTACATACCGTATACAATATACCACATACTATATATATATATATACTATGGACTATACACTGTATACCATACACTATATACTAAGTACCATATACTATATACTATGTACTGTATACTGCACGATTTTCTACTACATACTGGACAATGTACTACACTATATACGATGCTATACTATACTATATACTATACTAGACTATATACATTAGACTATATACTACACTATATGCTACACTATATACTACACCATATACCACCAGACATCCCGATCCTGGCCCGGAGTCGCCACGTGCTCGGCCATGGCAAAATGGCAAACCTGGCGGCAAAAGTCCTCAGGGAGCTGACCCACCAGGGCTTTAAGGAGTTTAGGGCTTCTGAAGCTTCAGAGGTTTAGGGCTTAGGGTTCCGGGTTAAGGGGGTTTAGGCTTCAGGTCTCGGGTTTCTAGGGTTTCTCGGTCTTCTAGGGCTTCCAGGGATTCTGAAGGCTTCTGGTGCTCCGGGCTTGGTACAACCCTCGCAGTCCGAAGCCAGGAAACCGTGCTTACACCAGTTACCTCTCACACACCCTTTGTGTAATGTCAGTTCTGCCAGAGAGGTGGTTTTGGGTTGAGGCTTTAAGATGTAGGGTTTGCGGCCGGCTTTCGCGGGTCCCATGCTTTGGCACTTTTGCACCGACGGCCTCGTCGTCGTCCAGCTTCTTCCAACCCCTCCAACAGTGGAGGGACATCAGAGATCCCAGAAACATCTCTTCGTGGAGGTACACCTTCAAGCGCTCAGGGACATTGTCCAAAAGCTGCACCTCATCCTCTTTCAATCGGAGATCGAAGGATCCCTGCTTCTTCAAGACGTCGTGCACTTTGCCAAACAGCTCAATAGACAGGTTGCGCTCGTTGAAGAAGCGGACCAGGAAGGAGTGGCGCTTGAAGTGCTCGGAGCGCGATTGTCGCAGCGTGCTCACGGTCGCCGTGATTGAGCTAATGAAGGATGAAAACATGCCCATTGCCAAGAGGATCACCAACACGGCGAAAAGCCTCCGAGCAAGACAGAGGCCGCAAAACCTGCTGTGGCATCGCCTCTAGCTATGTTTCCATGTGCGCAACCCTGTTACACGGTGCTTCTCGTGCGACAACGGCTCCAGGGCAGCCAGGGCAGGGATGGCCCTTCTCTTTGTGCGGAAGCCCCATCTGACTTTCCTAGTGCTGTACACATTCCTCATGTCAATGTCAAGCTGTGCAAAGGCCCACCCAAACAAAAAACTCAGCAAAAAGCAAGGGGATATGTCTTCATGCAGTCGAGTCCCGACCCCAAGCCGGAAGGCCCCGTAGAGCTCAGGGACTATCTTCTAGGGTTGAGGGTTTAGGGTTTGGGGTCTAGGATTCCTCTTCAGGACGTTGGCAGCATGACCTGAAACCCCTTAACCCTTGGGGAATCATCGAAGCACGCTCTGCGGCGCAGAGACAGAAGCGGCGACGGTCCCAAGAACCCAAAATCCCCAAAAGCCTCTCGAGTGCATTGGCAGGGGCCACGTTGTTCGTGGCAGGAGTGAACCTGGGTTCTTGCGAAGGAACTGAATTTAAGCTACCATACAAAGGAAACCACGTTGTTTGCTATAGATAAAATTTATCGTAACTCCAATAAAATTCCTTAACAAGAACCCAGAAACTGCGTCAGGGCCCAGTGGATCGACCTCACAGTCTCCCATCCCGCAGGGCCCCAAGAAAAGCGAGCTTGGGGTTGGGGTGGAGGAGTTGGCATTGGAGGCTTTGGGTGTGGGTGGGGTGTACGCGGTTTGGGAGTTAGCATTTAGGGTCGTGGTTTAGGCTTCGGAGTTTAGGTTCGGGGGTTTGGTGTGAATGTCTGGGAGTCTGGGCCCTGAAGCTGTATCCTTAGAAGGTGCTGTGTGAACCCAGCTTCAGGGTTTAGGGTGTAGGGCTAACGAATGGATGGCGAAGCGGCACGGCATAGGAGTCGCCGAAGCCTGCCTGGCTCGGGTTGAAGGCACACTTTGGTGGCTTAGAAACCCAAAACCCTGAAACCCTTATCCCCAAAAACCCTACATTAACTCCTACACTACATGCGACACCACACCCGGCCTTGGGCACTTCAAGCAATGAGCCGAAAGCTTAAGGAGTTTCACGCTGGGCGGATGAACGGAGCCCCAATACAAACAGCTATACTATACTATACTGTACTGTACTATGTTATATTATACTTGTATTATATTTTACGATATTAAAGAAGGCAACCCCTAGCTAATGTCAGGCAGGCTGTAGGGACGTGCCCCTAAGTCGTTTCTAAAGCCTACTTGCAAACTTGAAGACAATTAGGGTCAAAGGCCTGTGTGAAGCCTCACGCGCAAGCACCCTTCAATCCAGTCTTGCACCCTAAAATCCGAACAAACTCAAAACCCTCAAACTCCCTAGACGCTACACCCTACGTCCGACCTGAACCTTTACCTTCTAGCCTCTAAACCCGCTTCGAACTCGGTAAAAGTTTAAACCCTGTAGACCCCAACAGTCCTGTAGAACCCCCAATAGAACCCTACGACACCCTATTAGGGTTGTTTGTTTAGGGTTTAGGGTGAGCTCTTTTTTGAAACTTTCACAAATGCCATTGTGCCCAGCCTCTTCCATGTTTGCATTCACGAGCCAGCTGCTGCCACTTGAAGAGTCTAAGGTCCTGGGGGGTTATACCATAGGCCCATGGGACTTAGGGTTAAGGGGCCATAGGATTTAGGGTTTAGGGTCTTGTGTGGTTCTGTTGCGAGTTTGGCGTGGTGCGAGGTAGCTCTATAAGGTTCTGCACAGGGTCATTAAACTGTTGCATGCAGGAGAACCGTATAGCTCCGAAACCCTGGCGAACCCTAAACATTTGAAAATTGTTAAAAACCCAGACAAAAATGAACGGGCACCCGGTATCCAAGCACGCATAAACCTGAATTGAACCTCCCAGCGGCCACTTGCCCAGGCCGTACCAGCAGCAGGCGATGACATGGTTCACGGCGAGGATCATCAGCAGCCCCGACACGATCTTCATGACCTCTCTCTGGTGTTGTCAGGGTGCCCTGAACCCTAAAACCCTGAACCCTAAAGCTCCCTCCGATGTGATTTCAGGATGCAGTCCCCTCTTGGGTGTGGGGCTTAGGCTTAGTCAAGTTTAAGACTTCGCCTTCGGTTCCTACCTGGCTATCTGGCTGGTTTAGGGCTAGGGGTTTAGGGTTTAGGGTTTCTTATCTGTTTATCCATCTATGTACTTATCTATACTGCGCTCATCTCTGCACCTTGACGCAGGCAAACAAGTATACATTGCAGACAGATGAATACAACAGCCATAACGAACCATCGTTCAAATGATCAGCACGCGACCAGATAAGTAGAACGGAACACACAAAGAACAAATGAGCACAAAGCGACACCCGAACACATACGCATACATGCATGCGTTTATGCATGTCCGTCCATCCATCCATCCATCCATGCATACCTGCATTACATACCTCGACCAACAAACAGACTCACACTCGGACCCAAAGGCAACCCTGCCATCACGAAAAACCTACCGCGGCCCCTCAAGCCCTGATCCCCCAAAATCCTCAAACCCTAAACCATGATCCTGAAAAGGGCCCAAAACCGCTTCTGCAAGCCGCACCATGAAGGCGTAGGTGGACAGGAAGTGGTTCGCTAGCAGTGTCAGCTCCTGACACTACAGCGGCGTGGGGCTGGAAAAACGTTCGGAGAAGGGTTTTTGTAGGGTTCGCTTGAAAGCCCCGACGAGCCAACAGCCCGAAACCCGGAACTCTGAACTGCAGAAGCGCAAAGCCTACAGTAAAGTCTTCATAAGCACTGATCCCCTGATCCCCAGCCACCTGCTGGAGCTTGGCAACCCGCAGCAGCCGAAGGAGCCGCAGCAGTCGGAATGTGCGCAGGTAGCGAGCAGAACGTATCGGGCTCCCTGAGGCCAGAGATGTGCTCTTGGAATGGAGGGTGCATAAGCCGAAACTGGTTCGGTTCGAGGCTGAGGGTTTCAGGAACACGTGAACTCAAATCCCTCAACCCCCCATATCTATGACAATAACTGCAACAATGATGATGCGAGTGCCAACCATAACAAGAAGCAGTGACAGTGTTTAAGCTAGAAGCGTGAACCTGAGATATCTGATACCCCTAGACCCCTAAAAAGAGCGAGAGGGACAGGGTTTGGGGTTAGGGGTTGAAAGTCCAACTCTCCACACCTTCGGGCTCGGAGTTCTGAACTTCCTGGAGAATTATGAGCGACGCGTCGATGGAGATTACGATGAGGTCGATCGCGAACCATCCACGTAGGTACCTGGGTTTTGGCTTACAGGGTTACAGTGGAGGGCGTTCGCCCGTCTTGAGGCTTCTCGAATGCGAATTTACCGGGCGTTTAGCCTCACAAAACTGAAGTGCTCGCCTGGTGAGTCCTCTTGGTGTCGCTGCCGGTCATAACAAGAACAAGACTCGTAAAGAACGACTAGGTACTAGTAGATTTGCAGGCCTAGTTTCCTCTGACCAGGGGCCCGGAGCTCGAAGGAGCTCAAGTGGTCATGCTCGATTGAGGACGAATGCGGGGCTTTACCTTAGACCCTGCACCATAGAAACCAAATCCTGATCCCACAACCTCGCGTCTTCTTTCCCTAGCTCACGAAACCCACTTCTCTTTGCAACAGAACCTACACACTTCGACCACCCAAAAGCCGCAAGCCTTCACCCCATCAACCTATGAACAGCACGAAACCCGAAACCCTAATCCCCCAGGCCTTCGTATGAGCTCCCTGGGTCTCAACTCGAGATGGCCGTCCACCTCCACAGCGAAGATCATGTGCAGGGGCCTGGGAAGAGGAGGCCTTTTGGGGGGATTTAACGAGAGAAGGGTTCTTCGAAGATTCTGTGCCTTCAAGATTTTCATGGAGGAAAGCTTTGGGGCTGTAGGGCTTCTAGGGCTGCGGCTTGGAGCTTTTGGGGTTTAAGGCCTTGCTTGAGGGACCATGACGATCTTTTTCTGGGGATCTCGAGCTCGAGGCTTTTATGCTTCACACCAAACCCAGTGAAGGTGAAAATCAAACACGAAGCTTGAGCAGCTTGGGTTTGTCGGGGGTTCGTTGAAGGGATCCGCCCCAAGCGGACCGAGCGACATGTCGATGAGCCAGTACACGAAGGAGAACCTCAGGGCAAGTCGACGCATCCACTCGAGGGCCTTTACGGGTTAGGCCTTTGAGATTAGGGTGCTGGGTGCTGGGTTCAAGGCGTAGCCTATCAAGGATTTATCCCTAAACCCCGAAACACTAAACCTCTAAGCCCTAAACCCCTGACCCCTAAATCGCAAACCCTTAAACCCTAAACCATCCACTTAAGGTGCTTCCTCGCCCTCCCGACCTCCCCACGGACACCAGGAACTCGATCATCGCCTGCACGTCGAAGAGCTCCAGGGGAATCGTAACGAGATCCCAGACCTTTAGGGTTTGGGGTGTGTGGTGTAGGCAACATTTTTAGCATCAACAGAATTCTTTTTGTAGTAAAAGACAAGAAGAAAACAATTCCCAAGAGCACTCAGGAGACGATGAAGAGGCTGCCAATCAAGGACCAGAGGATGTGAAGCTTGCTGCTTGGCGTCCGCACCAGGGGCTGCAAGCAGGATGCCGTGTCGGTCTCCAGGTCCCTCATCCTGGGAGAAGCTTCCGCCCGAAATCCGGCAGCTCTTAGCCCCAGACAGTCCACGAAGCCTCCCTAAGCTCCAAATAAGCTCCCTCAAACCCTCAACCATCCCAAACCTAAACCCTAAAACCCGAGAGAGAAAAACCCATGTAAGCCCGAAGCCCATCGCAGCCCAGAGTCCGATGGATCTTCGGCAAAGGTGAGAGCTGGAAGCTCTTGGTGTGGTCCCGCTTCAGGTGCCCGTGCTGCAACCCCACCTCCAGGCCGCATCGGTTTTCTTCAGAGACCAGGGTCCTAAACCTCTCAAACACTGAGCCTCACCGTATCAGGACACCATAACATCTCATGTTGCATACGTTTGCAGAAGTTGCTATTTACTGCCGCGACCTCTTCTATCCTTATGAACCCTGAACCCTCCAAACCCGAAGCCAACTTCGGGGCAGGGCGGCCCTTGGACTTCCGGCGCCCACGGGTCTTCCAACACGAAAGAGGCGTTTACAAGGGCCTCCAGCACCACGTTGGCAAGGGTTTAGGGTTTAGGGTTTAGGGGTTTATGGTTTAGGGTTTAGGGTTTAGGGTTTAGGGTTTATCCTACCTAATCCTAAGCTTTCAGGCTTCGGGTTTGGGGTTCAGGGTTTGGCACATGGGAGGCCGCCCAAAAGCCCCCGGGAAGAAGAGAAAAGCCATGCCCAGTACTCAGTAAGTTCTGCGTAGACCCCAAAACAGCAAACCGTAAACCCTAAACCCCCAAACAGTAAACCCTTAGCCCTAAACCCCAATGGCCCAAAAGCAGTAAACCCCAAACCCCAAACAGCCGCTCCTTCATCCTGAACCCCAAACAGTGAACCCTACACCCCAAACCCCAAACCGCAAACCCTAAACCCCAATAAACCCCAAACAGTAAACCCTAAACAATAAACCCCCAAACGGTAAACCCCACACCACAAACAGCCAAGCCCCCACCTTCCAGGGGCCGCGCAGCAGCAACGCCTCCAACTCTGGGTTCATCCTGAGATCTGGGTACCGCAATCGGGGTTTAGTTTAGGGTTTCGGGTTTGGGGCTGGTCACGCAATCGGGATCTCTAGCAAATATGGCATAAGTTGGTCTCCCGATGACAATAACTTTAATAACTCGGATCTATAGAAATAAGCAATGTTTAATATGATAACTCTTGTTAAGGAATGTCAAGTAGGTTCCGATAAGAGGCATCAATTCCAAATAACATGGTCTCCTCATTACGTCATTACGATAGCTTTGAAGAAACTCTAAACCCTCAACCCTAAACTCGAAACCTGAAACCCTAAACCTAAACCCTAAACCCTAAAAGCTCCGAACCCAACAAGAGCCTGGCATCTGCACCGGCTCCTCATCCTGCTCCTCGGGCTGATCCTCGTGGAACCTCGGGGTTTCGGGTTTAAGCGTTGAGGACTCAGGGGGATTATGGAACACTGTGGGGTTTAGGGTACCTCGAGTATTTCGGGCTTCGGATTTAGGATTTGGGGATTGGAGTTTTGGTTCGGGGCTTGGGGTTGCGAGTTTGGGGTTGAGGGCATAGGGTTTAGGAGTTAGGATTTCAGGATTTTGTGTGGGGGCCTTCGGGGAATACCAACTGGGCCTATCAGAAGTCAGCGTACTTGATCTTAAGGCACGGGTTCAGAGTTTGGAACTTGGCATTAGGGTGAACGGTGATGAGGCATAAAGCTTCAGGATTCAATACTTTCTGAATCTTCCTGAATGATACAACCCAGCAACTTCGTGAGCATCTTCTCCGTGAGAGCTTCCCAATTGCGCATCGCCGCGTTGCTCGCATCCGACTTGGCGAAGGAAGTCCTCTTTCTTTGCTCTCTGGCCGCCAGCAAACCCAAGCTCTTAAACCCTAAACCGCTCCGGTTCAGGTTTTAGGACCCAGAACTCAGCACCCAGAATGCCGTCAGCACCAAGCCCCAAACCCTGACCCCCATCATGACGTCACCTGATTCCTGCGAAACCACACTAGGGTGCTAACACCGCGACACTCCAACCTTGCACCCCTCTCCTTCATGCAAGTTGACAGAATAAAGGAACCTTTTGTCGTATGTTTCCTAGGATAACTTAAGCGTAGAGCTCCGCAGCAACAGCCATGTCTGAGCTTACCAACTGCATTGCAAGGCGCAGGGACGTGCAACTGGCACCTGCGGACTCTCGACTTGCTTCACTTTAGGCTCGGTTCTTCCGGGGTGTCTACGAAAACACGAAACCCGTACTCAGAACCCGAAACGCCAAGTTGAAATCTGCGACCCTCCAACCTCAAAAACAAAAAAAACTTCAAAATCTCGCCTATGGCCCTGGACCCCGAAAGGACAAAAAGCCTACAACCCCGCCCTCTGTGAAAGCGCCTTTTGTTGGATGGCTCGTTTCATTGTCGGGTTTCGAGTGCACCTGAACTTTCAAAACACCTGCGTTGTTTGAGGAACCCAGGGAGGAATCATAAGAAGAAAGCCTAGAAAAAATGTAGGTTTCCAGGATCCGGGTAGGGCGTAAGGTCTCGCATAGCGCTTCTCGCCTGCTTCCGGACCTGCGGCTTCGCTTTCGCTGCCCAGGCTCAGCCAACCTCAGCATGCACAAAAACAACGAAATTCGCTGGCCCTTATGACCCAAAGAGCCCTGTCTAGAACCCTTCTAGAGCCCTTCTGGAACCCTAAAGGCACTCCAGAGGCTGTAGAAACCCTCAAACGAGGCCTTGTGGCACCCTTTCAGAACCAGACAAACCACAATCCGAAGCCCGAAGCACTAAGCATCACTAAGCCCAAACAGCCCAAAAGCACTAAACGGATTTCGCAGCTTTCGCAGCCGAGCGGCCCGAGGCGGCAGAAGCCAAGCCTGCACTCTTCGCCTCGGCCAACCGAGGACGTCGTGCTTGGTCCACCTGGGCCCGCTTGGGCCTTGGGGGTGGGTCTGAGAGGGCTTTGGGTTTAGGAAGTTTAGGGTCCATGGCTTGGGGTTTAGGGTTTAAGGCTTAAGGTTTAAGTCCAGATGGCATACAAGGGTTCTACGGTTTAGGGTCTGGGGCGTTTATGTTTTCTTGATGTCAGTGGGGTTGAACATTGAGTTTCGGCGTTGTAGAAACGTTCTTGGCAGCTCTTTGATTTGTTGGGGGCCGCTACCGCTCAGGCTTTGGGAGGGGTTTCCGGTAAGCGATGGCTCTCAAAAGCCAAAATCCGCCTCCCCGCCCCCAAAACAGGAAGCCCTCTCCCTAAACCCCAAACCCTACATCCGGACTCCTACACTCCAGACGTATAGGGGGCGAAGCTCCTTGGCGCCCGGCCTCCGCCTGGTGCTGCTTCACGAGGCTCTCGAAGAGCCTGTCCAGCTCAGCACGCAGGAAGCCATCGTAACCCTCCTCTGCCACCATGGCTGCGGCTCCACTTGGAGGTTTCAGGGCTTTGAGGCCCGCAGGCCCAAAGCCCGGTTGATCGGTGAGCTCTGCACTCTGAGCCAGAGACCTCGGCGTTTGGACTTTGGAACCCTGGGAACCCTCTGTTTGTCTTCCGATAGCCTCAAGGGAGAGTCCCGGTCCGCCCTGAAAAGCAAATCCTCCACCATCCTCCAGCACAGATAAAACAAGACTTCCAAAAGCCCGGCCAGAAATGACGATTTGCTGGAGCCTTAAAAGGAAAGTACTGAAACGAAACATCCACATCCCAAGCCTGCCAGTGCGGAATTTTCCGCAGCGCAGATTGCAGAACAAGTCGGCCGAAGCGGAGACGCCACCGTCCCCAAACAGCGGCTCAAGCAGGGCCAAACTTTCGAAGACGGCCCGATGCGAAGGACGAGGGGTCAAGGCTGGGGGTGCCTGCAATGCAAAAAGGCGGAGCCCATAAACGCTGTGAGGCTCTCAGGCACTCTGACTCTGACGGCGTCGAAGCAGCTGGGGCCTGGCAAGGAGGAACTCAAGCTGCGTCCTCGGGGAAGCCGGAGCCTCGCCGCCTCGAGAAGCGTCCTGCTGGGGTGCAGGTGCCTTCGCCGCAGGTGGCAGAGGGAGTCGGAACAGCGCAAGATGAAGCTGACGCTTGGAGACGCGAGGTCTTCTGCGGGAAAGTGAAGCACGGGCCTACAAGTGCGTTCCACAATGCCTCTCGCAAGCTGTGCAGAGCACAGGCAAAAGCTGGCACGAAAGGGTTCGGAACCGCTGACTTGCAGGCATGATTAGAAAATTGGGACTAGGAAAGCCTGAAGGGCCTTCTGGGCGCTACGCCGCACTTGCAAGCTGTGAAACGAGGAAAAACATCTCGGCAGCGAAGCCAAGATCCCATTCCCTTCTGCTCTTCTTCGGATCCATTCTCGTGGCATGCCCCGTGTTCCGTCAGCGGAGCCTCCGCACCCGGCGACTTCAGGTGCTCAATCACCGCACCGAAGCCGGCAAGGACTACGGCAAATCAGCACCACGTGCTCCCCACAACTCTGACTCTCACCCCCAAAACGAAGTGGCAACCCCTCTGGCTCTGTCAACCCCAAAAATGAAGCTCCCGCTGCCAGGCCTTATCTTGGCAGGCTTGGCCAAATGGGCACGGGTATGCATGTAGTAAAGGTTGGGTTGTACGCCTTCAGGGCCCCGTCCCCCTCAGAGAGAAGCTCCGAACCCAAAACTCCTGAGCGGCCCTAACCCCAAACCGCCAAACCTTAGACCTAAACTCAAAGTCTCTGGAAGCTGCCGCCATCAAGGCCGTTTCGAAGCCGAGGCTGACAGCCCCCACGGCAATCCTTTCGGTCAGGACATCCGAGATGCTCTGAGCCTTTAGAATTTACGGCATCCTAATATTTGGGGTTTACGGCAGACATGACGAAGGGCGCTGAACCGAATCTGCAATTCCGGACAAACCGACCCCTTTGTGCCACATGCCGCACGATAGGAATAGCCTTTGCAAAATGCAGGCTCAGAGCTGTGCTTGCAGCGATCTTCACGACGACTCTGCATGTACAATGCGCAGACACTCTCGACTCGAGGCTTAGTCAGTGTGGTAGATTCAAGATTTCGATATGGTGCGACCCGTTTTTCTCAAACTGCCGTGACTCCCGTCAAGGGTGGCCATGACATCTGAACGCGCGCGACGCACAGAGATGACGCGGCCCTCGACGGCTCCTGTTGAGCGGGTGTATGGTCCTGAGCCGAATCGGGTTCACATGGCTGCGGTGGTTGACCACTGACCACCCGAAGCGGCATGCGAGTCAGAAAACTGTCCTGGCCACGGCTTCACGTCTTAGGCATCTCTTGACTCCCTTGCTACTCCCTGACTACGTAGACTGAAGCAAACTGAAGAAGAAACGTCGAGCGATCAATCCTCCCTCACAGACAATGGCCATCATCGAGGACCTCAATTCCTCGACACTGTGGACATGCGCATTCTGCGTCCATCGGCTCTGCTGCTTATCCTCCGGCTCTCTGCCGGGCTTTGGCTCAGTTGGCCTGAAATGCGGGAAGGGGGGAATTTCTGAGGGCCGTGAAGGACGCTTCGGAAAATGCCACTTCATCTGCTTCTCTTCCAGACCCAGAGGCCTTGGCTGCTTGGTGGCATGTACCGACTGAGGAACAACTTCTTCAGCTTCTGGACTTTCTTCTGACAACCCAGCTCGTGGCGACCTTCAGGTCGCTGGAGGCCTCTTGGGAGTCAGGGAAGCCACCAAGGATTATCCGGAAGTGAAAGAGGCTTTACTCCTTCATAGCACACAGGCTCTTTGCGACTTCAGGATTTGCCGGCCACGCCAACCGCAGGATGTCAGCTACTCGATGCTGCGACATAAGAACTTTGGCTAAGGGAACTGGAGTGTGAAGTGGTCCTGCCATAGGGCAACCCGGATTCTCAAGATTCCTCCTCCTCGGCATCAGCATGGTGATCTTCCACACGCCCATCGCACCGGCAATGTCCTTGCTTGTAAGCCAAACCGCTCGATCAACAGGCCTAGGCCCAGGCGCCTTGAGCGCAGGGCCGAATCACCGAGCACTTCATGCAGCTTCGGCAGCTTCGGGACTGCGGGACTTCGGGCCTTGGACTCCGGGCGATCATGTCGATGGCCTCGTGACAGCCAAGCCTATCTTCAACCTCGTTTTCTTCATCAAAGCCCACATTCGGGCTTGGTCGCGAGGACCTCCCGGCCCCAGACGAGGGAGAGCGGCTTATCTTCCTCAACCTTACAGCTAGGCTCCTGTAACGGTAAACTACCCACCTGAAAATGTCCTAGATTACAGCCCGAGCGGGGTATATTCTGCAAGGCATGCTGTGCACACAATGTCGAAGCACACTTACTTGGTTGCACGATTCTGTCGCTCTCCTGGCACTCAGCTCGGTTCATGTCAGGCGAGCCAGACGCAGGAACACACATCACATAGTTCCTAGATCCCCCTTCATCACGAAAATCCTCATGGGGCTCAACCTCTGTAGCTCGCACAACCATAATTGCAGACCAGTTGGGCTGGATTCATCACATGCGTGGGAGGAAGGCGAGGATCAGAGGCAGGAGAGTGTATTCCCGTTGGCACGGATCTGCAAGAGAGGAGAGGAAGAAAAGTCTCCGAAAATTACAGGGGTCCTTGCCCATGTCTTGCATGTCGACGCCGGTCCGTTGAAGGGCAGTCCTACACAAGCACCCCTGTCAGGTGAAGCCGGATTGAAGTGACCAGGTTAACTTGGCGCATGGCTACCCGGCCTGAAGCTGTGATGTCACGAAGTCTGCAATCGGGCACAGCCGGCGATACTTCCAGCGCCATGACTCTCAAGTCTCCCTGACTCCCCGTTCCAGCACGGTGTTCATCAGATCTCCGCGACGAAAGTCTGGCAAGCTGCTACGCCGTGTGCCGGCTCCGAGTGGAAGCCCAGGCCCAAGCATTTCAGGGCTGAACTCTAAACCCGGGCCTAAGCCCTACTCCTTGAGCCTTAAACCGTTCAGGTCTTGTCGGGCTTGTAGCTTGCAGCCTCCGGAGAAGTCCCGTGTTCGGGGATTCAAGGCTTGCCAGGTTTATGGTTTAGGGAACCGGGGTTCGGGGCTTAGGGTTTTGGAGTTTCGGGTTTCGGGGTCCCTTACTGAAGACTTTCAAAATCCTGAAGCTCGGGCTCACTTTGGCAGTGTGGTTTCCAGGAAAAGTGAGCAAGAGGGCCGCCAGTGGAACGTCCAGGCCGGGAGCTAGAAGAGATGACACCCCAGAGCTCCAGAAATCGTAGGAGGCCCTGGGCTTCAGGAGACACCTCTCCGAGCCCCCCTGGAAGCTCCTAAAGCTTCCAAGACAAGGTGGCAGCTACACGCCAGAAGCCCAGGTTGAGGACCTCCCCTTGCTGGCAAGGCCCAGGCTCAACGGTGCAGACTTTCGGGATGAGGCCGACTGAGGGTGATCTGATCAGAAGAAGCTCCAAGCAGCCTGCGAAAGCTCTTGGGCCTCAAGCGCTGCTTCAAGGCGCCGTCAGAACTCCCGACGAGACCCCCACAGCGGGAGCTCAAGGCCGTGGCCATGCGGAGCACTCCTTTCGGCGAAGCGCTGCCGCATGCTGCCGCTAAGATGCGGCCCAGGGGTTCTTCAGCGCAGCGGTGAATGGATCGGCTTCAACCGATGCGGCGTTCTCCGAACACGAAGGGGACGGTGACTTGCAGGCACGACGTCGATGTGCCGGGGCGGCTCGGAAGCCTCCAAAAAAAGACATCGAAGAGCTCTCGTGTCCCGCAGCCTCGGCAAAAGCAGCTGCACAGAGAACTCTGCACTTCCGAGGCTCATGACTGGGCCCACGAAGGGCAAAAATAGGAAAGGCGCTTCTAAAGGCCGTAGGGTCTAGGAAAACAAGGCAGGAGGCTTCCTGTCCTGATATCCGGCATCGAAGCTCCAGGCAGGAAAAGTCTTGTTAAGGGCGTCTTTTCACGACTGGACTTGGGCCTCCAGCCGCGAGCCTCCGCGTGTCTCTCCCTTCGGAGGTGGTGGGACGCACAAGACCACGACCCAAGAGAACCTGAAACCCAGTAGAGCACGGCATTGGGACACTAGATCTTGCCAGATGTCTGTACCTAGGTTGAAGGTCCCGCTTGTTCGAGGCTCGTTGTCATGGCTGGTCGGCAGCTTCACTGGGCATTTCAAAGCCCCAAGCCGACAGGCGCATGGGGCTTCGGGCTTCGCCATGCTTCGCCTTTTGGCCTCAAAGCTGCGGCTCCATCCTTCCAGTTTAAAGCTTCTCAGCAACCTGGAGAGGCCCCCCGCTGGCACCGAAGAAACGATGCCGCGGGGTGGAAGCACGTTAAGTCGTCCTGGTCCTGGAGCGAACAGCTCTCTCTGCAGCGCCTCGCGGATTCGGTGCTTCTCCAAGGCCTGGCTAGAACTTGGGAGCACACCATTAACGACCGAGACATGACACGTATCATCTTGGCATGGGTTCCTTT